CATTCATTTCATCCATCCATTCATTCATCCATTCATTCATTTCTTTCATTTTATTTGAAATCTTTGCAGATTAACAGCTGGTAATGAGAAAGATATTAGTAAGGCTAAGCCTATGATTTTCAAAAATAATTGCATGCTTTAGCGACTCACAATTCCTTAATTAATATGAATATGACATTTGCATATTTTTATCTTATCTATGATTTGGTATTAATATTTGACAATTTCTTCTCCTCCTCTTAATGATGGTTTCTTAATTTGTTTCTAATTTTTTGTTGACATACAAGGACGAATAGCATAACAAATATATATATATATATATAAATACTACTACCTTTAATACTGCTACTTTTACTTTTATCCTTATATTCTAGGCAACTTGTTGATCCCTCACTTTAATACTTACACTAAACATGTTTCTTCAGCTCGAAAATACTCGTCTTCTACGAATACCAATTCTAATTCCCAAGGAAATAGCAATTACGCAGTACTTTACCTGTACCACCTCTCTGCAGCTCGATTATATCGCCATCCTTCACTGGCTTTCCATTGAGTGGATCTATCATATCTTTCCGAATTATTTTCTCAACACAGTCCATTGTAACAACACTTTGACTACAATCAAACACTTCCTCTAACATATATCATTTAGACAAAGCATTAGACAACGACACTATTTTTGAATAGATCTGTTGAAAGAAAAATTTTTTTGTTCAAAATCTTCATACGCATTTGATATGAAATGTCATAGTATCTAAATGACTTGAATCACTTGACCTGTTTCAAATGCTTGCTCGATAACCCTCGTATCAATGCGGTAATTCGTATTCAGAAAAAAATTTTAGTTAACAACAAAAAAGTATCCCAGCATTCTAGAAAACAAACCAATACTTGTACAGAATTGAAATAAGACTAAAGTACGACCATTCTACTTTAGAGAGCTATTAATTCCATAATTACCTTGTTTTCAAATATGCACATCGAGTTGTATTAGTGAGTGCATCATGTGTTATAGGGCACATATATCGTACCTTCCGAGCCACTAAACTCCTATTACCATTATCATCAGGCATTACGGTAAATTTTACCGGCATCAATTCCTTGATTTTTAAAGGTTTGCCGGAGAGTGGACAAAAAACACGTTGTTCCTGAAAAACAATTTTACATGGCGAGGGTAACCTCTTTCTAGCTAACTACCAAGTCCACTGCAACTGACCTCTCCTTTCGACATTATTTGCGTATCTAGGACAACATCGTTTCAAAATGAAATAATTTTATATCTTTGTGACATCTTTTTTACAAATAATCAAACAATTTTATCCTCTCCTAAATACACCTTCCTTTATTTGTATTCAGAAGTAAAATTAAAATTGTAAAATGAAGCTTGCCGGTTTTTCAATTTTGACTTCAACAGTCGGATTTAACTGCGGAATCCAAAAACTTGGGTATTCTTTTGCCTTCTCGCCTGCTACATTTGAAATCTCATCTCCTCTCAATCGTTTACCATCCGATCGACCATTCCCAAGTATTTTGCGCTTGTTGATCTGAAATTTTCCGGAAACTTTGAGATTACCACTCGTAAGAATGTGCAAAAAGTAATCGAATCATACCCTAGATCCAGAAGGGGTAGCACCAGCAGAAGTGGTAGGCCAATCGATGTCCACATCTCGCTTCACTCCTGGATGTGCTGGTGTTCCTTCAACTTCTTTGAATTTCTTCAATTTCAGCTCTTCATCCAGATGTTTTTCCTGTAAATCGTAACGCTGATTAATTTTGACAAAAACATGCTCAAAGTAACTTTACAAAGAATAGAAAATGTACTCGTTCCGCTTCCTCCTCTTCTTTTCTACATTGTTTCTCCCATTCCTTCAATTTTCGTGCATTTTCTTTCTTCTGCTCCAAATAATATTCCAGCACAGCTTCCCTATCAAATACGTAACCATACGGTGATATTACCGGATCCCTATAAATGGTAAAATGATGAATACATCCGCATCTACCATGATAAATATATTTACGCCAATGACAAACATATCTACGTTTTCTTAAATTATTCAACCAATTGGATCATAATAACTTCAAGTAAAAGGCTTGTCTCGACAACTGCATGTTGAACATATCGTCAGCATTCAAGAGATGCTTTTTGCAATCATTTAATAAATACAGCTGATTCCTACAAAATCTTTTATCCATCCCTAAAAGTCTGAGTTATATGTAAGAATGAGATGATCCTAATTCAAAAACCTCACTGAAACTTGGAAGAGGTATATACCGAATAGATGAAAAGATTTAAACAGATATGGAAACAAGTCGTGAATTTCCATGTAAGTAACCCAAGTCAATGGTATTCCATAAAATCCAATGAGTCAGGAAATCAACAAATTTTTAGCCTGCACATTTGTAAAAAGGTCTTACCGGCAAGGTTGTAAAGTGATCGAGCAACAATCGAATTCTTTAACTGAATCAGCACCTAATCTTTGATGCAAAGTACCATAACCAGATTCTTTAGCATCTTTCCGTCTTTCCGAATATGAATATACCGCCGATGCTGTAGCATTTTTACCATGACGAGTCATTCTATAAGCAAATGTAAACTTACTATCCTGAAAATATCTTCCTGTATATAACATTAAACGCATATCTACCATCCACTTTCACAGCAAAATAAGCGCATAAATTATCCAGCTACTTGACGAATTCGAAGTTATACAATTTCATATTTCTCAATGCCATTCTCGACCTATCACACTGCGGAGCCCTACCGTGAGTTCCCAGTTTTCCACGCTGCCCCGTAGTACCATTCGGCGACTGACGATACGTAAGCCAGTTAGGTGACGATGATACGCTTGGTTTGTAACATAAGCGCAGTTTTGATGAATGAGATGAAATTCGGGATTTGGGATGGTCGTTTCGTTTCTTTTTATTTTTGTAATTTATGGTATTTTCCGTTCGTCATACTCCTTATTGATTTGTGTAGGATCGTTATTTCACACGTGTAAAAAATAATTATTAACCAATTCTTGTTGTATATTTCATCAGTCTATGTTACTACGTTACTCTATAACTTGCTTTATTGTTTCGACCATCTTAATCTCTAATTTCAATTTTTTCTCATTCTTTCCAATTGTTACTATAAATTCTCATATTTCTGAGCTACTTTAATTGTCTTTTTCAAAAAATGTCATTTTTATTGGTTATGTAGATGACATGCATTGCACAACATGCATTTGCTTTCTTAATAATAATAAATATTGGAAATGATTTATAATCATTTTCTATTACTCGTTTTTCTCAATGGGAACAGTATTTTGAACTATGCGTGTTTTGATTAGGGTATCTTTTAAAATAAGCAAAAAGCAGTAGAATGTTGGGGATTGATAAAAAATGAATGGTTAGATCATGTTACTGCATGCGTCGAATGTTTGCAGGCTTCATAATTTGCGATTTTAATTTCAATTTAATGAGTGAGGATTTTCGCAGGTTTGATGACATCAATAATCAAATTGGAGGCCTTGTCAGGTGTGCAGGATGATGGACCGCTATGCTACCTTCTACAGGTGAATGACTGAATCAAATCTTTCAAAAGAAAATATGAAATTTAGTGTGATTTTTGCTAAAATTATCATTGTTCATGTTGGCTGATAAGTGATATTCCAGTCATTCTCTTTATTCTTACCGAATAAGTGCTAAGTATTGGCTTATTTCAGGTTGACCAGGTTTATTTTTTATTGGATTGTGGTTGGGATGAACGATTTGATATGGCATACATAGAAGCGGTCAAAAGGCGTGTCCCTCTTATTAACGCCGTTTTATTATCATATGCTGATATACCACATCTTGGTGCTTTACCTTATCTTGTCCGAAAATGTGGCCTAAATTGCCCTATTTATGCGACGGTGAGTGTACTTCACACGTACTGTTTTTATTTTGGGAAGCTTCCTTTAACATTTGGATATTCGTCGGTTAAATTTGGAAACCGAAATGACATTTATTGCTCTAGTATACAACACTTTGTCGCTTTCTTGTAATGGTCGTCTTCCAGATATTTTGCAATTACATAGAAAAAAGCAAAATCAATATACTTCGTCAGTTTTTTTTTTTTTTTTTATTTGGAAATAAGATTTACTGGTGGACGTTAGCATTTACTGGTGGACGTTAGCGGTTTTTTAATATGAATTAATTTATGATTGATCTTACTCATAAACTTAAAGATCGTTTTAAGCTGCAATCCTGCTTCTTTACTAGGTCGAGTGTACTTTTTTTTTTTTTTTCAATGGTGAAGTTAATTTATCATTAGGCTTAACGTTTTCGATGTGCATTTACGTTGGAAAATTCACTGCACACATTAGTCCCACCATAGGGAGATGAACTGCATGGATGTTTATTATGAGGTTTTGTGTATTATGTAGTTTGAGATTAGTTTTACTGCTGTTTGAGCTTTTGACACTATGAATGTATCAACACTCACTAGTACTTAACAATACGATAGGATAAGGGAAATATTTGCGTAGTATTACTATTATCACCCAAAAAAATAGTGTAATCATTATCACTCAACATGTTCCAATATGTCTAAAAGAGTATAAGGACGAAAAGTTAGATATGGTAGGTGTTAGTTAACTGTTGTGTTAATCTTGACTTTTCGGATTCGAAGAAGGGAAAAATTAGAACTTGGATGGATGTTCTGTTTTGCATACGAAATATAGTACCCTTGTAATTTTACGTAATTAGTGATGCCTTTTTTTTTAAATGATTTTGTTTCATGAAAGTTTCTGATAAAAATTAAGTTGACGTGAGTTAGGTACTTCAAGTGAGGCTACTTAACATCTCTTGTTTCCTGTCTTTATGTAAGATTTTTTAATTTTCTAACCAAAATAATTTATGACTTCATTAGGTTCCTGTGTATAAGATGGGACAAATGTTCCTGTATGACTGGGTTAACAATCATACCAGCGTCGAAGATTTCAACTTGTTCAATTTGGATGACATTGATGCAGCGTTTGAACGAGTACAGCAAGTAAAATATAGTCAAACGGTTTGTTATATTTTAGATTATTTTGATGTACTTCTGATTATTTATTGATGAGCAACATTATATGAGCTTTAAGCATGGTACTCTTAGCGAAAATATAACCTGTTGATTTCCATTACAGGTTTTAAGATGCTTCTTCAGATTTTATTGAAAGGTGATAACGGCCTTCAAATAACGCCACTACCAGCTGGTCATATGATTGGTGGCGCAATATGGCGGATCACAAAAATGGGTGATGAAGAGATTGTCTACGCAGTTGATTTTAATCACAGAAAAGAACGGCATCTGAATGGTTGTACATTTGAAGGTATTTATTAGAAATATTTTGTAAATTTTTTATTCAAATAAATGGCCAGCAAATTATAGGTATTGGGCGACCAAATCTGCTAATCACTGATAGTTTCAACGCACTGTACAATCAACCGCGTCGGAAGCAACGGGATGAACAATTGGTAACTAGACTTCTGGGTACCGTAAGAGATGGTGGTGATGTGATGATTGTAATCGATACGGCAGGAAGAGTATTGGAAATAGCTCATTTACTTGATCAGTTATGGCATAAGTAAGTTCGGCAATTACGATGGAATTTATTTTATAATTCTGTATACTTCCTAGTTATCAGATGTTCGAAACTCCTGGAGATTCAGACTTTAACTTAATTTTAACTCCGTTACAGTTCCACTTTTATTCTTACGCTTTTTCTTTTCTTTTTTTTCCACTGATAAATTCATCTATCTTCATCGCTGTAAACGAATTGAGAGGAAATTTTCACTCTTCGTTCTTACTTATCATTAGTTTTTTGTTTTTTATTATGAGATTTTCAATAAACTTTCTCACACCACAGTGACGATTTGTCCATAAAGATCTTAAAATATTTAGTGGAATAATTGACGTAGTTTCCTACAAATTAAAACGAAGTGATTCTTCTTAAATTTCAAGCGCGGAGGCTGGTTTGATGACATATAATTTGGTCATGCTAAGTCACGTCGCTTCATCGGTAGTCGAGTTTGCGAAGTCACAAGTGGAGTGGATGTCTGATAAAGTTTTAAAGTCCTTTGAAGTTGGCCGCTACAATCCGTTCCAGTTTCGACATGTGCAACTTTGTCACACTCACATAGATTTGTTGCGAGTACGAAGTCCAAAGGTTTTCAGCTTTTTATTCTATTACAACCGTTTCCATTTCCAAACACTCAGTTTTTATGTTTAAAATATCAGTTTTTTGATGGTTTATCAACTTTCTAGACGCCTGTTTATTATTTTAAAACCTAGGCTTGCAATAAACTATACATCATAATCCAGTAATATATTCCTTTTCCAAAAAGCTTTCAACAGAGTTTTCTTTTTTTTCATGAAATTCTTTCTATTTTAGGTAGTACTTGTCAGTGGGCTGGACATGGAAAGTGGCTTTTCCAGAGAGTTATTTTTGGAGTGGTGTACAGACATAAAAAATTCTGTTATTGTTACTGGTGAGGCTTTCTGATTCAGCAGAAAATGGCATAACTTGATTCGCACTTCAACTTCAAATCACCATCACATCACGAAGTATTGATAAAAATAGCATGCATGATTTGTAGGACGGTCTGGCGATCGCACTCTCGGCGCGCGATTAATAAGGATGGCTGAACAAGCAGCAGAAAATCCTAATGGTACGATAAATCGTAATTTGACCTTAGAAGTGAAACGAAGAATACGTTTGGAAGGCGCTGAGTTGGAGAATTATCGAGCCAAGAAGCGAGCGGAAGAACGTGAAGCAACTCGAATTAGGTAATAATAAATAAGTCATTGCAAAATTTGATGCCACAGTTCTGTCATCTTTCAGTAGCTGCAGGACCGCAAAGTAGAACAAGCTTGGATATGCTTAGAACTCGACAAAATTTCAAGTAGTCAAATCGTTCTGATGTTTAAATTCCTTTAGCGATTATACTTTTAATGTTTCTTTTATTCATTAACAATTAGTCAGTATATAGTAATGCCTTACTCGTTATAATGCTTGCTAGCTTGCTTCCGCACTACTAACCATTTCCATCAACATGCTTCGATGAGTTATCTAAGTAAAAATTAGTGTAAATCAAATATGATCTACTTTTGTTAGAGTCATTTTCGTTGAGATTTATTGAAATCTGAAATTGACACATTTTTGATATTTTCAGACTAGAAGCATCACGACGAAATGCTAGACTCGAGCAAGCCGATTCATCTGATGACAGTGATGACGATGCCGTTATGGTTGTTCCTGCCACGACTTCTGGCGTATTAAATGGCAAAATGACCAATTCGAAACGTAATGTTACGTCTTCTTTTAGTGTTTCTACGACGACTACCACAGCTGGTTTGAAATTTCATTCTTTTCTTGACTTGTATATAATTTAGCTGATTTATTTTGCTGTGATTTGTGGTCATGAATATAAATGGGTAACATTTGTTAGTCATATTTCTGCATAGCTGACTTGTACTTTTGCACCTCTGATGAGCTGATTTGTATGGATTCCACACGTTTTATGGTTGTCTATCCCAGACATATCTGACATGAAATTCTGGAAAGAGAACGACTTATATCACTAAACACTAACCAAAACATG